TCTGCCATTGCGTGGTCTGGGCCGAGGATTTTCTACGTAAATAGGACGCCCTCCTGATAAAGATACCCCTGACTACAGATTTATGTGCCGCCCATAGGGTGCCCTGGGATATATCTGGGGTAGCGTTCTCAGTGAAGTAGTTGGTCAAAGTCTCCTCTACCTCTTTCTTGAATGACGGATCATTCAACAGGGAGGCATTCAGCCTCCATGGGCTGCGGTGTTTATAATCATATTGGTCTCTTACTGACAGTGTAACCGGTGCGTGGTCCGACCATGTAATCTGTCCTATGACACAGTCTGTGATTTGGTTTAGGCTTTGGCCATGTATGAGAAACCCATCTATCCTCGAATATGTGTTATGTACGTGGGAGAAGTGAGTGTACGTACGCTCCGAAGCGTGGGAAATCCGCCAGGTATCATAATAGTGGTGTAGGGAGAGGATCTTCTGTAGCTTTTTGCACTGTCTATGCAGTATTTTATATCGTGGGCTGTGTTGGGAAGTGTTAGTGTCCAGTTTTGGGTCCCAAACATGATTAAAGTCTCCACAGATAACTGACACTCCTTCGCGGATCGATTCAGTTCTCTGTAGCACCTGTCTCAGAAACGTTCCTTGTAATGTATTGGGTGCGTATATATTGGTGATTGTATACATCATGTTGTTAATTGAGCATTTCAGTATTATGTATCTCCCATTGGTGTCTACCTCTACAGAGATCATAGTAAATGCTACTTGCTTAGAGATTAGTATAGATGTCCCTTTGGACTTTGTGGGGGACGTCGCGTGGTATTGGTGTGGGTAGTCCGAAGTCGTCGGTGGGATATAACTGTCAGTTCTGTAGTGTGTCTCTTGGAGACAGATAACGTCCGCATCTGTTCTCTTGAGTTCTCTATATAGCTGGTGTCTCTTAACCGGTAGGTTTAACCCTCTTACATTGAGAGAGAAAATTTTCATGGGGGTTTATACCCAATGGCTTTTATAAGGGTCATCCGTGGAATTAAAGACCAGTGCGGGGGGTTCGCTCGTCCCAGCAGCATCAAGTCGAGCGACCTTCCCTGAAGTGAGGGTAGGAATCGGGCATAATTCACTCGCCGGGTTAGGGATGGGTAGGTGGGCTGAGGTACCTTTGCAGGGACTGAGGCCCAGTGTGTTGGATCAGCTGTGTGGACTCCCTGTAGGTATTGGGGGCTGGACATGGGGTGGCAAGTCTCCACGAGACCGGGGTGGGGGGTGGGACAGGGTAATAACTGGGAAAACATATAAAACATATACACAATAAACAGGTGTGCCATTCTCGGCCTAGGTACTCCTGGTACCTGTGGAGGGGGAAGTCCGAACTTCCTTCCTGTGGGGTGTGGACCCCGAGTCGACCCACTCTATGGCTTGCTAAGTGGTCTGTGAGTATTGGCGCTTAGCCGGGTATTAATGCCCCCTGTATTGTACAGTGAAGCATTGTGGGACCTGCATACCCACATAGGTATAAATGCCTGTATATAAACGCCTACAATAAAAGTATATAGATATATAATAATTTTTTTTTTTTTTTTTTCAATTTCTACACATGCCTAACATGTCTAGGTATGACATTAACATTCAACATAGGTTATAACAATTATACGATACCCCCAGCTGACTTCATGGTCCAATTATCAGGACCGGCTACACAACCAGCTCCTGCGGACGCTCGTATATCTGAGTTAGTTGTGGTGTAGTCTTTTATGTCAGTCTCTTGGACTTTCTCCAGTCTTTGGAGGCGGTTTGCGTCCTCTTTGGGCTTCGTTGCTGGTTTGGTTCAGTGAGACCCCATCTTTGTAGCAGTAGGGCTCCTTCTTCTGGTGTGTTGATAGCTGACACTTTCCCTCCTCTGGACACCAGGATCTTCACCGGGTATCCCCAGCGATATGGCAGCTTGTGGCGTCGGAGCTGTTCTGTGACTTCTCTAAATTCTCTCCTTCGTTTCAACGTGTATGTTGATATGTCTGCAAACACTAACAGTCCCCCATGCGGTTCAGGAAGCGTCTTCTTCGCTCTGCTTGCTTGTAGCACTAATTCTTTCACATGGTAGTAGTGCATTCTGATGAGGATGTCTCGTGGGGTGTCTGGAGGTAGAAAACTGGGTTTGGCGGTTCGATGGTACCTGTCCATGAGCAGCAGGTCTAGCGGTATGTCTGGCGCCAGCGCTTTCAGCAGATTTGTCAGATAGGCTGCCAGCTCTGCGGGTCCCACCTCCTCGCTCACTCCGCGAATTCGCAGGTTGTTGCGGCGAGCTCTGTCCTCAATGTCTGCCAGCTTTATCTCATACTGCTGCATACGGTTTTGTATCCCTGCCATTTCTTCTTCCATCCCCCTGCGTGCCTCCTCTAGCTCTGCCACTTTAACTTCAGTCCCAGCAGTTCTCACCTCCAGTTCTTTTAGGTCATCATGTAGTGCTCCAATTGTGGATTTGAAGCTATTCTCCAATCTTGCAGACATTTGTTCTAGCATTGTCTGCATCACCTCTTGTGTGAGGGGGCCAGCTGCCACTGTGTCTGTGTGCAGTGATTCACCAGCCTCCTCGGCGCCATCTTGGCCCTCATCCTGCATCAAGGCCTGTCTCCCCTGGTGTGTCCGTGCGGCAAAAAATGCACTCCGGTCCGTTTTTTCCGCCTGCCTTTTCCCCTTGCTTTGCGACATGCTCGTTGGGGTATATGGTGCCCCGCTTTTTCGTGGCTAGCCGCCAAATTACTCCTCTGTGGGTGCCGTCGGAGCGGAGCGCTCAGCACATGCGGCCGCTCAGTACCGCCGCCAGGACACCAAAAAAAAAGTTAAACATATTTATGAACCGGGAACTAGCTATTGGCTTAGAGCATCAACTGACCACTCTAGTCAATCTGCACTTCCTGACACTCCGTTTCAGAAGCCGAATACCACTGAGCGACCTGGAGATCTGGAGCTGGAGGAAGCCTTTGGGGTTCAACCATTTGAGAGCGGTTTAACCCCTTAAAAAGGAAAGAGTGCACCCAGGGGCTTCCTGGCATCATAACATATTCATTTAGATGAAGTTGTTATGGTGACCAGAATGTTGCTTTAATTTGCTTAAAGGAACACTATAGTGTCAGAAATACAAACATGTATTCCTGACACCATAGATGTAAAAAAGGCTATTCACCTTGGCTTTATGTGATAATGACTATGCCCCTTTCCTTTCATGATTTCAAGCATGGATGTCATTACCATTATGCACCCCCCTGGAAAAATTCCTGCAGATGCCCATGACAATAGGATATCTTACCTATGAGTATTGTAGCTAGCAGTGGAAGAGTGAATTCAGTGTGATTTGACTGTCAGCCAAAGTGTTTATTGCTTTACACACTACTGCTGTGAAATGCTCAGTTCTGTGTAAGTTGGTTTCTAAGTAGTGATGTCCCGAACGGTTCGCCGAACGGTTCGCGAACGGTTCACCACGAACGGTTCGCCACGGACTCATCATTGAGTAAACTTTGACCCTGTACCTCACAGTCAGCAGACACATTCCAGTCAATCAGCAGCAGACCCTCCCTCCCAGACCCTGCCACCTCCTGGACAGCATCCATTTTACATTCATTGTGAAGCTGCATTCTTAGTGAGCTGTCCAGGAGGTGGGAGGGTCTGGGAGGAAGGGTCTGCTGCTGATTGGCTGGAATGTGTCTGCTGACTGTGAGGTGCTGGGTCAAAGTTTACTCAATGATGAGTCCGTGGCGAACCGTTCGTGGCGAACCGTTCGGCGAACCGTTCGGGACATCACTATTTCTAAGCAGTGTCCTATCATAAATCTTTAAATCTTGTTGACAACTGTTGCTTATATAACTGTTGCTTTTAGCTGTCTATATTGTGTTAAACCACTGCCATATTGTAGTCTTATGTTATACCTAAAAATTCACTGATTATTGTCATGCATGTTACATATATTATTTTTATTATTATTGTCACAATAAATTAGATTTTTATAATTATTTTGTGATTAATGTGTAAAGTAAAAATCTTATGGTGAAACTTCCTCTAGGATCTAAGATAATTAAAATAGTGGGTAATTCTCAGTTTTAAATAATTAATCGGGGAAACAGTACTAAGATATACATTTTTGATATAATAAAAATGATTCAATTAATTTTTGATAATTTTTATGAAAATATTATTTTTAATATTTATCACCCCATAAATATCCTCACAGTTTGCACACACTAACCTTAGTTAGGGCTCTCAAGAACATTGTAGTAGTTATGGTGCCAAGAGTGCCTTGGTGTCCCCATTGTACATAGTCAAACTAAAATAGAAAGGCTACTCTCCGACTCCTTTCTGCAGCCAAGACTTGTCTGGAGCTGCGGTACAGGGTTAACTCATTGTCTCAGAGTGTCAGCTTATCACTCAGCCAATAAACTAAGCCATCGGCTTAGCCCAGACAGTGAGCTTTCAGCTCTTTAAAGACTGTTGTGGTGATGGTAAGCAGCACTTGGTGGACCTCAGGTACAAAGACAAACCATTCTAAAATGGTTTGTCTGCGTACAAGTGAAGGGTTAATGAGTGAGTGTTGTAGTGATTGTAGTGCTTAGAGTGTTCCTTTAAGTAATGTTTTCTAGAGGCTGTAGAGATCTACATCCCACAAAAAAACATAGCTTTCAATTGATACGTACCTAATAGAAATTGTTATTTTTCACCTCAAGTGAAGAACCAAATGTATAACAATATGTCCTAAAGGGCCGAAAGAAGGCGCATGGGTTTTGATGTTCTCTAATGTGCAGTATACAAAGATCAGCCACCACATTAAAACCACTGACAGGTGAAGTGAATAACATTGATTATATTGTTACAATGATACCTGTTAAGGGGTTAGATATTTTAGGCAGCAAGTGAACAGTCAGTTCTTGAATCTCATGTGTTGGAAGCAGGAAAAATGGGCAAACTCAAAGATCTGTGTTACTTTGACAAGAGCTAAATAGGTAAAAGGATGGGTCAGAGCATCTCCAAAGTCTTGTGGGTTGTTCCCTGTATGCAGGGCCGTCTTTAACGCGGGGCAAACGGGGCAGCCGCCCCGGGCCCTGTTACTCTTGGGGGGCCCAAGGCAGCTTCCCCGTGGGCCCCGCTGCCCTCAACAATTGTTTCCCCCATGGGGCCGCTGGCCCTCACATTAAGCAGGCCACCGGGTGGGTATTGTAAGCAGGGGCCCGGTCACACGCTGTAGCACTTTAACAGCGCGACCGGGCCCTTTGCTTTTCGGCAGCGCTGGGAGGAAGTGACGGCTGCGAGTCACTTCCTCCCACTAAGGAGAGGAGCCGCGCGGGGGACTAAGGAGGGACCCTTGCCAGGAGAGGCAGATCCCAACAGCCTTCAGTTTGGACACCTGGGGAACCACCTTCCAAGGTAGGAAACTTGTGGGTGGGTTTAAAAGTGTAAATTTATGTCAGTATGTCTGTCTGTGTCTGTGTTTGTGTCAGTATGTCTGTCAGTGTATGTGTTTGTGTCAGTATGTATGTCAGTGTATGTTTATGTCAGTATGTCTGTCTGTGTTTGTGTCAGTATGTCTTTTAGTGTATGTTTGTCAGTATGTCTGTTAGGGTATGTTTGTCAGTATGTCTGTCAGTGTATGTTCATGTCAGTATGTCTGTCAGTGTATGTGTTTGTGTCAGTATGTATGTCAGTGTATGTTTATGTCAGTATGTCTGTCTGTGTTTGTGTCAGTATGTCTTTTAGTGTATGTTTGTCAGTATGTCTGTTAGTGTATGTTTGTCAGTATGCCTGTCAGTGTATGTTCATGTCAGTATGTCTGTCAGTGTATGTGTTTGTGTCAGTATGTATGTCAGTGTATGTTTATGTCAGTATGTCTGTCTGTGTTTGTGTCAGTATGTCTTTTAGTGTATGTTTGTCAGTATGTCTGTCAGTGTATGTTCATGTCAGTATGTCTGTCAGTGTATGTGTCTGTGCTTGTGTCAGTATGTCTGTCTGTGTATGTCAGTATGTCTGTTATTGTATGTGTCTGTGTATGTCAGTATGTCTGTTATTGTATGTGTCTGTATGTGTGTCAGTATGTCTGTCATTGTATGTCTTTGTGTATGTGTGTCAGTATATGTGTCTGCATATGTCAGTATGTCTGTAGTGTATGTTTCTGTGTGTGTGTCAGTATGTCTGTCAATATGTGTCTGTCAGTGTGTGTGTCAGCGTGTGTTAGTATGTCTGTCAGTGTATGTCTCTGTGTATGTGTGTTAGTATGTCTGGCAGGGGGCAGAGTCCAGGGGCCCCAAGCAAATGGTTGCCCAGTGTCCGGTCAATATTAAAGACGGCCCTGCCTGTATGCAGTTGTTAGTACCTACCAAGAATGGTTCAGGGAAGGATAACCAGTAAACCAACGTCATGGTCATGGGTGCTCAAGGCTCACTGAAAAACATGGGGAGCGAAGGCTAGCTCATCTGGTCTGATCAAACTGAATGACTACTGTAGTTGAAATTGCTAAAACACTTAATGTTGACCATGATAAAAAGGTGTCAGAACACACAGTGAATTGCAGTTTGGGGATGCTTAGCTGCAGACCAGTCAGAGTGTCCATGATGATCCCTGTCCTCACTGAAAGCTCTTTTAATGGAGACTTGAGCATCAAATTTGGGCCATGGGGCAATGGAATCACAGTTGGTGAATCATATTTTCTTTTAGATCAGATGAATGGCCAGGTGCGTGTGAGTTGTTTACCTGGGCAAGAGATGACAGCATGATGCACTATGGAAAGAAAAAAAGTAGAAATCCACAGGCGTCACATGTATGATGAAATTCAAGGTATTTGATTGACGATAAAAGGATAAAAAGATGTTTTGGCCTTTAGGCCTTAATCAGATCCAAAATGTATATTTTTGCCCTTTGATCTTCAATCAAATACCTCGTACATCTGACATGTGACGCCTGTGGATTTCTACTTTTATACTATTCCTGGTGGATGGTGGACCACTCTTTACAGGGCTCTAAAGTACTTTTAACACGTGTGCAATAGCATTGGACACTATGGGAAGAAGGCACGCCGGTGGAGGCAGTGTTGTGCTCTGGGCAAAGTTCTGCTGTGAAATGTTGGGCCTTCATGTGGATGTTACTTTGATATGTGCCATCTACCTAGAGATTGTTGCAGAACACTTACACCTCTTCATGGCAAAGGTGGTTCCTGAGGGTAGTGACTTCTTTCAGCAGGGTAATGTACCTCGACACACTGCAAAATGTGTTCAGGAATGGTTAGAGGAACATAAGAAAGAGTGCTGCCCTGGTCTCCAAATTCCCCAGATCTCAATCTAATTGAGCATCTGTGGGATGTGCTTGAATGCCAAATCCGTTCTATGGATGCCTTACCACACAACTTGCAGGAATTAAATGTTATGCTACTAATATCTTGATGCCAGTTACCACAGGAAACATTCAGAGATCTTGTGGACTCCATGTATCGATGCATCAGAGCTATTTTGGCAGCGCAAGTGGGACCTACACGATATTAGGCAGGTAGTTTTATTATTGCAACTGATCAGTGTATACCTGCTGACCTGAAAAGTTAAATTTACACAGCTTCTGTTTCCACAACCATTTCACGTCATGTTTGTCCTAATAAAGATCACATAACGTTTACTAGTTGTAATTTATATTTTTAGTAATGTTTTTATTTGTCAATAGCATGCCATGTTATCTGATGTATACTTTCTTTGCACAAAGTCAAACACTAAACTGATAGATAAAATATTAAATAATTTTTTTGTCAAGTGCCAGTAAAGTGGGTTAATACAGTCTTAATGAGTTATTATTTTTCCTTTCGCAATCCTGATACTACAAGTAAAAATAATTATTTCCTAAATGCAATTCATTATTTTGTGGAATTGCGTTAAAGATGCCACTTTAACATTGAGGACCTAGCTTTGTACATGGAACTATTTAATTAGCCTATTAACCCAGTGACTGTGCCCTTGACAGAGTTATGAATATTTAGTGGAGATTGGAGATGGAGTTGAGCAAAATGAAGTAGTTCACTTCCACATTTTCATCTGACTGGGCTCGATCATGTAGAAAGCATTTCAAAGAAAATACTGGAAATTTCTTTATAATATGAAAAAATATAATAGGGTCACAAATAAGTGCATTTTCACACCATTTTGTTTTGTCTGAATTATTTTTCCTAAATCGATTGCATGATGAAATTAGTCCAAACTAAAACACCACATGAATAAATCCCAATGCACCCGAAACAAAAATTTCAGACATTCCGAATATTTTCTCCACGCACAAGTCTATTATTTATCACCAACAAGAAGAGTTCATAGGACCTCTAAAATATGATCTCTTTGATGGAAAAAAATTCATAAAAAGTGTTGTGGCATCCCTCCCAGGTATCATTCACATACCTAGGTCTCTCCTTCTGCACTCCCATGACACCGGCTCTTGGGCAGTTTGTCGACCTGGGTCCTGACTGCAGGGGCCTTCAATCCACATCCTGAGTAGTCGGGGGTTTGAAGAACCTAGGTAATGCTTTCACTGCAGAAAGCAAGGCTATTAGAAAAATGTATCTCTCTGGAGAGCAGAGAGGAAAGAGTCATCATAATGCAAAAAAAGATAAAACATCTACAAAGAAAATCATGTACATCTCATGTAGTGGATGATTTGATAATACTGAAAAGAGTGCACACATGAAAATAGAACATTGATTTGGGACAATAAACCATATGACAAGTGACAAGGCATTCTTTACAGAAATTGATTTTAGAATGAATGAAAAAGTATTCCCAGCTGATGAGAAGAATGTCAGTCACAGCTAACAGAAAGCACCGTGGATTCCTGAGCCACATGTCTTAAGGCAGTATAAGACATGTGCAATTAGTTTTGTTCCGAATGCAAACTCGGACGAAATTCGGACATCGGATGCTTCCGAATGTCCGAAGTGCTGTAGTGCTGAAGTGCTGAATTTCGGAATGCCGAACCGAACCAAATTTACAGAAGTGCTGAATTGCTGAATTGCCGAATTGCCGAAGTGCCAAATTTCAGAAGTGCTGAAGTGCATTGGATTTCTGAAAAATGGCAAAACAGGAGAGAGTTGGGGTTAGGGGTTGGGGTAGGGTTAGGGTAACCCTACCCTACCCTAACCCTACCTTAACCCTAAACCTTCCCCTAACCCTAACCCTACCATAACCCTTTTCCTATCCTTAACCCTGCTCCTACCACAACCCTGCCCCTAACCATAATCTTTCCCTACCCTAACCCTACCTCTGACCTTACCCTAACCCTACCCCTATCCCCAAACTAACCCTACCCTAACCCCACCCCTAACCTAACCCTAGCCTTAAACCTACCCTTAACCCTACCCCTAATCCTACTCCTAAACCAACCCTAACCCTACCCCTAGCCTAACCCTAACCCTTACCCTACTCTAACCCTAAACCAACCCTAACTCTACCCTAATCCTACACTTACCCTTAAAGTCCTGAAGTCTCAAAGTGCCGAAGTTCCGAAGTTTCGAAGTGTCGAAGTTCCTGTCAGGAACCAGGAACCAGACAGAGACAGATCTAGATGCAAAAACACCTTTATTTAATAAATAACAAAGAAATAACCAAAAGCAAAGTCCAGGAGGCAAGCAGGGGTCAGTCACCAGAGCGGGTAGTCAGACTAGCCAGGATCAAGAGAACGGTGAGCAGCGGAGTCAGGAACAAGGCCAGAGTCAGGAACCAGGAGCAAACAGGAAACACAGGAACAAGGAGACTTCTGGGGAACAGGAAACCACGCAAGGGCAAGGAGGTTCTGGGATTTGCTGCTTAAATAGGCTGAACTGATTAGCAGCAGGGTTGATTACTATTCTCAGGTGAGTAACCGTGGCAACATGCTGAAGGAGCTGATCGTTAATTACAGCTGAAACCTCAGACACTGAAAAAGGAAGGGTGGCTGTTTAAAACAGCAAAGAAACCCTGACAGTTCCGAAGTGTCAAAGTGCCGAAGTGCCGAAGTTCTGAAGTCCCGAATTTCTGAAAGGCGAACCGAACCGAATATTTTTCCCATGCACATCCCTAGGCTGTATATATTGTATATGATCCAAGGGAGCATATTGTCCGTAAAAATCTTGCAGAGCCATTCACCAAAGTGTGAATTGTTCCTTCATGGGCATTAAATTTTGAGAGTTACAGACTTGGTACCTAAATGCCAAGCTTTCAGATGCAGAGGGACTTGAAAAGTTTAGTACAGTTGGCAAGTTCTGAAGAAGCAGTGCATTATATGATGAAGGATATATGTTGATAAGAGGTGGATCAGGCATCACCGACAATG